ATGCCGAGTCGATACTAGTGCTCTCGCCGAAGAAGCTATGAGATGACTTGTGCGTCGGTTGACCTCGTAAGTTGCTAAATGATCTAGAAAGTCCTCTACCTACGATCTGGGTTGTTTGTTGCTATAGAGGTCTGGAGATTTGCATTGGTTTGAGTTAGGTTTGCTTAGGGACAAGCAAACAGTTAAGTGTGGGGGAATTTGATAACGATGTAATTGCACATATTTGCGCCCCTAGTTCTTATCCGTTTGAGGGGCATAGTCGTGTATTTTGGCCTATTTTACGCCGGGTTGTGCTACTTTGTCATGTTTCAGGTCCCAGGCGTCAAAGGGAAGGCTAACCACGAGTTTTGGGGCATTCGGAAGTCATTTCGCCAAGCTGGAGCCAAAACACGGGCAGACCTAAAATAGAACACGACCGTGTTCTGTGGCCGTGCTTTTACTGCCGAGAGCAAATTCGGGTTGGCAAATATTGGCTAAAAACACGGGCTGAAAGCACGGCCGTGTCAACCAAAGCACGACCGTGTCCTCTCCAAAACACGCCCGTGTTTCCCCCATTGCACTGGCCGTGTAATTAACCCTAGCCAAAGCACGGGCGGGCTGAGGCATTACACGGCCGTGCCCTCGACCGTGCTTTGGCCACTGATGCCCTTTTAAGCAGATTTTCAGCCAAAGAGAAGGGGATTCGAGTCTTAGAAGAGAAAGACCGATTCCTAGAGAGAGAAAGCGACGAACAAGAGTCTCCAAGTGCCCTAGATTGATCTTCAACACCATTGGAGGCCAGTTTGAGCTTGGAGAAGTGCCGATCAACGTCCAGGAGCAGGAATCCATCCTTCACAGTATGAATTCCGCGTCTGATTCTGCTTTATCTTTTTTCTCCATGGAGTAGTCCTCCCATTCATCTGGGTATGGAGAACCCTAGATTTGTATGTTAGGTTTGATTGTATGAACCCAAGTACTGATTCTATGATTTGATTATATTCGATTGAGGTTTGAATGATTGAATGACTTGAATCCTGATCAAATTCATGTTGTTTCTGCTTTAACCTAGAATGAAAATATCTGCCTAGGTTGATAGAGCATCCTTGATTGAAGGTAGGGAGTTGGTGACTTTAGTCGAGGAACCAACTCACTATTCTGTACCGGGTTTACTCCGGTAGTGGACGTTTAGTTTGTTAAGGCCTCAATCTGTTTACTCCGGTGGAGGTTAGTCGCCGGCTAGAGATTCAGATTGAGAGGGTCTGAAGACCTTTAGTCGAGACTTCAGGCTGTTTAAGAACCTTCCGCAGCATAACTATCATAGAAACTGAACTTGGTAATTACAATCCGGCTTAACTGCAGTCTAGGGGGAACCATATCCGGGTGACCTCTCTTAACCTGAATACAACAGTTTACCTGCTTTGTTAGTTTGATAGTTTAGACTTGCATTCCAGTTTCATTGCTAGATAACAAGAATTCACTGAGTAGTCATCAGATCTAGGACCCGGGTTGACATATAAACCTAACCCGCTATACTACGCTTTAGGAAGTGGTTTCACTTGGCCAATTCCTAGGGTGACAGTAGAAGTGAGTCAAGTTTTTGGCGCCGTTGCCGGGGACGGCTAGGTTGTTAAAGAAAAGTGATTTCTGTTAAATTAGCCTTTTCTTTTCGCTTTGTTTGCTTTGTCCCACTTGTGCCTTCACGGGTTTGCTTGCTTGAGTGTGTGCAGGTAGTGCATGACCCGTAGCCAGTCGGGAGGTTTACTGCCGTTGAATCCAGAGATTGAACGCACCTGTCGCCAACTCAGGAGACAACAGCGAGCTAGACTGGCTACGGAAGAGCGCCTAGACGGCCACTTGAGTAGCGATTCTGAAGAAGAGTACGGGATGGACGGAGACTACAATCAGCACCAGGGGAATCCTCAGCAGGCTCCCCCGGTGAATCAGGTCCTGCGGAACAACCCCATACCCAGGATCATGGAGTTCATCATCCACCGCAGCTGGGTCCCACCTTGGAGTACTACTACACTCCTCGGATTGCTGACATCCGCCCGGTCATCCTCTACCCGCCTATTCCAGCAAACAACTTCGAGATCAAGCCATGCTGGATTCAGCTCATCATATCCAGTTTCATGGCTTGAAGGATGAGGAGGCCAGGGTACATCTGTCCCGTTTTCTGCAGCTGACAAACGGGTTCAAGCTGAACGGTGTTCCTGATGATGCGATCCGCCTTCATCTCTTCCCCCATTCTCTGGCGGGGAATGCTAAGAGATGGTTGGAGACCCAGCCCCCATTGTCCATCACCTCTTCGGACGATCTGGCTGACAAATTCGTGCACAGGTACTATCCGGCATCGAAGACTGCAGAGATTCAGCGGGAGATCACTCACTTCCGCCAAGAGCCAGATGAGTCACTTTGTGATGCATGGGAGCGGTACATGGGATATTTCTGGCAGTGTCCCCATCATGGCTTTAGTGATGCATTCACAGTGGGGAACTTCTACAGTGCTCTCTCTCCAGACAGCCAGAGGGTGATTGAGTCTCTATGCCCAGAAGGGGATGTTCTCACTAAGACTCCACCCGAGCTGAACCAGATGATCAATACTTTGGCTGCCAGAGATCATTCTTGGGGACAGGGTAGCCGAGGCAGACAGTCCCGGGACCGTGGTGTGCACGCCATGGAGACCAGATCCGGGCTTGAGCAGCAGGTAGCTGAGTTAGTGCAGACGTTGAAGCAGCCCAACAGTCTTATTCCGGGCAGAGGTTTGGCTACATCTCCGGTTGCTCAATGCCAGTGGTGTGAGAGCTCAAATCACCTAGTGGAGGACTGCCAGGCTATGAGGGAGTCTACTACTCCCCAATAGCAGTTGGACTTCATCGCCAATGCTCGGCGCCTCGACCCGTACAGCAACACGTATAATGAGGGGTGGCGCCAGCATCCCAACTTTGCCTGGAGCAGCAACACCACTAAACCACCTGGTTTCCCAGCACCAGCAGGTGGTTTTCAGCAGAGGCAGCCCTTCCAGGCTCGACAGGGGACAACCCCACAGCAGCAGCCCTACCAGCCTAGGCAGGGGCAACCATTCCAGCAGCCCCAGCGCCAGTTCGCCGAGCCAGTAGTAGCCCCTGCCCCAGATGACCGGATGACAAAGCTGGAAAATATTCTAGCTTCATTCATGACTAGCACTCAGGCTGCTATCACGTCACTAGAGGCAGGTCAGCGGAACCAGGGTGCCATTTTGCAAGATCTGCAGCACCAGGTGGGTATCTTGGCCCACCAAAACACTACCAGGGCACCGGGGACTCTGCCTGCCACCACTATCCCGAATCCTCGGGATCCTCACCAGCTCCAGCAGCTGGATGCCATTTTTACCAGGAGCGGTAAGACCATATCTGCTGATCCTGTCCCGGCCAGGCAGGAGGACCCACTACCTGCTTCAGCACTTCCAGTCGACGATGCAGAAGTGCGGGTGGAGAAGGAAGCCCCTGCTCCCAAGCCACAACCAGTGGTTAAGGAGCATGTACCCCAACTTCCCTTCCCCACTCGCGTACACAAAGACAAGTTGGAGACTGAGTTTGCCAAGTTTATGGCAATGTTGAAACAGCTCAACATCAGCATACCGTTCGTGGAGGCACTGTCGAAGATGCCCAAGTATGCCAAGTTCATGAAAGATCTCCTCACCAACAAGAAGAAACTCCGGCGAGCAAAACCCAAAACCAACGTCATACCCAGTTCCCCTCATCAAAACCGGCCTGTGCTGAAATTTTGGGGAGATTTGTGGCAAATTTTTTCTGGTCAAGTCACCATAGGCGAGTTTCCGACAAGCTTCCGACGAAGTTCCGGCGACCCCTCTCTGGTCAGCTTTTCGGCAAGTTTTTGCCTTCCTTGCCCGAGCCTCACTTCCTCCTACGTCCTACTTGTGTCTCAAGGTTGGTTTTTGCGGCTTTACCTTATTAATTTGTGGAGAATCGGGTTAGGTAGTGAAGTGAGGATGAATTTTTGTGCTTTGCATGTTGAACCTAGATTTAGAGCGAGGAATTAGGTGAATTAGGTCGATGGAATGGTGGAATCATTTTTTGCGTGAGCTTAGTTGAGCCTTGGTGGGCGTATTTGAACCGAATTGCCTTTATTTTTAGGATTTGCCCACCAAGTGCTATGTTATGAATGCAAGTGGAGTTTTATGCTTGTTTGGTGGATGGTGTCCATCGTGGTTTGGGTTGTGGTTCAACTTTTTGTGTGCTTGAACCGTGAATTACCCACAACCATACCACGGTGAGCTTGAGCTTCAATGTTTGATATCCATGGTGAAAAAATAAGTGCGAGGGAATCTCTTTTCCAGCCTCCCAATGAGCATTATTTGATGAATGTTTCCATGTATGGAGTGTGTTTGTCGATTTGTGTAGGATGGTCAACATGTAGCACGAGTACATCCGCTATCTGGTGCAAAGGCTGAGTTACGGCCTTGACCGTAACTTGGAAGGTCAGCCCGTAACTCTAAGAAGCCTCCTGGATTTCTTCGTTCTCCACTTGCAACTTACGGCTCCTCTAAGGAAGTTACGGGCAAGATCGTTACTGGTAAGGTCTAGCCGTAACTTCCAGGATCGCACTGCCCACTCGCTACAAAATGTCCCGAAAATTTGGTAGCAACTCGTAGTTAGCAGGCTAGGTTGTTAGTATCGGGGTTGCACATTATTATTATGTTATGGATTTAGGCTTGTTCGGTTAGCATTAAGTGTAGGTTAGGGCCTAGTATGTAATCCACGAGAAGCTGGGATTCATAAGGGTGGCGGAGTGGCCTAGTCGGTTATTAGGGTTTCTACCCTATAAATATGTATGTTCGATGTTAGTGTCGTTTATCGAATTAATACGAAAAGGCCTTTCGACGCCTAAGTCATTCTCTCGCTTGTGAGCAACAAGCAAAACCCTTAACTCAGGGAAACGAGTTGCTATCAATTGGTATTAGAGCCGACGATGGTAGGGAGGGTGGGTTGCGGTGCACGGCGCTAGAGGAGGCCGTTGACGAGATGCGGGTGGTGATCCAACAGCTGCTGGGAAAACAGCAGGCTGCAGATTTCAACCTGCGCGAGCTGGGTGAGCGCTTCCTTGAGCTGGACCAGGGCTTCCACGCGTTGGGCGCACGGTTTGATGGAATGGAAAGTGGCATTCGCGAGCTCTTCAAAGGCAAAGGCACGGTGGGCGAGGGGGGCGACTGGAAAGCCATTGGGAAGGAGACGTCGGGCGCGAAGGAAGGCGAGCGCGGCGGGTAGTCGGTAACGTAGGGATCCGTGGAACGGATCGGCGCTGCGAGGACTAGCAGAGGGGGCGGCAGCAGAGGTGAGCTGAGGAGCGGGGAAAAATCCAATGGTGTTGGCGGCTTCAAGAGTAGCAGTGGTGCCTTCCTCACCAAGCTAGCTTCACTCGAGTTCCCGCGATTCGCTGGGAAGGACCCGAGGGCTTGGTTCCAACGATTCGAGCAGTTTTTTAGTACCGAGAGGTACCGAAGGAGCAACGGGTTGCTCTGGCTCTCACTCGTATTATCCAAACGGGGTCACTCCGGGATTATCAGCGCGAGTTTGAGAAGCTCGCTAATCGTTGCGTCAGCTGGACGCAGCAGGCATTGGTGGGGGACCTATCTGGGAGGGCTCAAGTCCAAAATTGCGGATGAGATTCACCATGTTTCGACCTTAATCTCTCCGCGATGCAATCAGCCTAGCGTGGATGAAGAGCGACCAGTTGCAGAGGCCTAAGCCATCAACGGGTCCCGCAGCATCCAATTCGCCACCGAGTACTGTGGCTGCGAGGTTTAGAGGAGGGCCAGCGGGAGCGCGAGCTGCAACCGCGGTGGGAGCTGGACAACCATGAGGTGCGGCGGGCTGCAGGAGGTTCACCTGGGAAGAGCAATAGATGCATCGTGCTCAAAGGTTATGCTTCAATTGTGATGAACGGTTTACCATCGGGCACAAGTGCGGCACGACCAAGATTTTGTGCTTGTTCGAGGAGGAAGATGTTGAATGTCAACCTTGGGGACAAAGTTAAATTCGAAGGGGGATAGAATGGTAGCAACTCGTAGTTAGCAGGCTGGGTTGTTAGTATCGGGTTGCAAATGATTATTATGTTATGGATTTAGGCTTGTTCGGTTAGCATTAAGTGTAGGTTAGGGCCTAGTATGTAATCCTCGTGAAGCTAGGCTTCTTAAGGGTGGCAGATTAGGGATAGGGGCGGAATGGCCTAGTCGCTTATTAGGGTTTCTACCCTATAAATATGTATGTTCGGTGTTAGTGTCGTTTATCGAATTAGGAAAGGTCTTTCGACACCTAAGTCGTTCTCTCGCTTGTGAGCTACAAGCAAAACCCTTAACTCAGGGAAACAAGTTGCTATCAAACTTCGCTCCTTCACGCCCATTCACGTCTATGTCCTGAAACATCATAAACGAACACAACCTAGGGTAAAATAGGCCACGAGAGCGGTAAGCAAGCTCAAACGGTCGAGAAATGGCGGGAAAAATATGTTTGAATATGGCGTTATCAAATTCCCCCACACTTAATCCACTTGAATCAACGGTCCTAAGTCCACTAGTTCACAAAATCAACTAGCACAATAAGGAGATAGACAGGAAAAATCTTATACTTCAACATCCTCCATAGTGATACAACTACCTCCATTTGTTGCATATCACATAAAGGCTGTCAATTCAAAGCATATTGAGCAGGTTATTGCAAGAGACAATACTTGGAGCCCTCAATTCAACAAATTGGACAGTGGAGTAGGCTCCAATCACAAAAATTTATCTATGCAGTCAAAGGTAAACACCCCCCACACTTAAGCATGACATTTCCCTCAATGTTATAGGTAAAATGGACTGCAAGGACACTGTAAATGGACCAGTCATCAGGAGAGGACTGGACAGTGGACCAGTTTGTGAGAAGCAAAGCTAGACAAAACACAACCACTCACACTGGGTAAGAGTTAGGATAATAGTTGTCAGCCCCATGGCTTCAACAAAAAGGAAAAGAAAACAAACACCAACAATATGCAGTTTGACTCAAAAGAACAAACAAACAATAACAAAACACATGGAGCTCGCCATCAAGTATCAGTCCTCGTCCTTATCATCCAGGGGTGGAGAAGGGTGTCAAAAATCATGGGTAATTTCCACATCAGCCTCCGAGCACATGCGCTCCTGCAGGAAATGAGAGTAGTGCCTGCCATCACGCTCACGATCGAGGCGTGCCTCGATCCAATCGAAACGAGCCTCCATGGCGGCCTAGTGGCTACCTGCTGGTGCGCCTGAGGAAGGCCCGACACTCGAGTCGTCGGGATAAGACTAGATTGGCGGAGGTGGTGGAGGCTCAGGTGCGGCAACCTCATCGAACTCTGCAGCACGCATGCCCCTGATCCATCGGATCCGCGGATCTGTCCTCGCGACCCGGATCATCCCCATGGCACTCAAGGTCTCGTTAGAGAAGTCTCTAGCACGCCCGACGAAGGAGCAGCCGTCCAGGGGCACTCCGAAGAACCATGCTGTGTGATGAAGGCCCCTCCGTGCAGTGTGGTGACCTTCGAGTGATTCCTCACCCGGGAGAAAGAGATTGCAAGACCGGATCCCAGATTGAGACCATCCCCCGCACTAGCCATGGAGATGAGGGCGTACATGTGTCTCTTCATCACCTGACTAGAAGCCTCCTGAATGGGAATGACAGAGTGAGCTAGCAGTGCCTGAAGGAAACGCCACGGGGCCTGCAGCTGGATGGCCCTGGTCCGGCTGTTCGCGTAGGGAACGGCAGCATGATGTTGCAGGTAGCTAGATCTGTGACTCGTCCCGAATATCACAATAAATTCCCGCCTAAGGTCCAAGTATAAACCTTAGTTGGGTGCAGTATAGGATAAGTATGTTTAAATATCAACCCAGGCTAGTCCGTGTACCCCTACTTCAATCATTTGAATCATTATCTAGAAACAAAGTTTTGGTTGAAAAGTTTGCTAATTAAACTAAAACAAGGTAAATGTAAATGGTTTTGATAGCTCTTTTGTGGGAAGGATCACTCGGGTGTCGCTTCCCCCTAACTACTACCATGGTATGTGAATTGAAATGATTGCTATGGGAAAGGTGACTACGAACCGCAGAGGAATGCTAATATGATGGCTACACCGAGGCATACATTATAGGCCGTGTCACTAGGCCCTCTCGGTTTAAGAAATCGATAGTGGACTTACTCCCTCACTCAACTCAAGGGTTGGACGACTTAATCTCACTTAACCAATTTTGCTTAATTCAACATTGAGGTTTACCCTAAATTAACCTAGTTAGGTGACTTAAGAAGCTAAAGGAAAACCAACTCGATTGAGTCTCCCTTGAAAAGGGGATTTTCCTCTCTAATCTAGGTTAAAGTGGCCAATTAGATTGCTAAGCACCAACATGCACAAATCTAAGGATGCTAAGCACAATCATGCGTAATCCTTAGGTTGCTAAGCACCAACATGCACAAACCTAAGGATGCTAAGCACAAAACATGCACAATCCTTAGGTTGCTAAGCATAAGTATGCACAAACCTAAGGTTGCTAAGCACAAAACATGCACAATCCTTAGATTGCTAAGCACAAGCATGCAGAATCAACATGAATAATACCTCAATCATTGAATTAACAATACCCAATAACAATCATTCAATTCACATAAAAGAAAACTACATGGTAGCTAGTTAGGGTTTCGCAACACCCAAGTGAAAAGAAACCTACTCCATGCTAGAAATGGGAGAAACACAAGGAGAAGAGGTAGAAACCATCTTGGAGGAGGCTTCCGATCTTCTAGGCACTTGTGCTGAACTTCGCTTGGGGAGAATCTTCCCAAATCCCACCTTGGAGCAAAACCCTAGACTCCTCCTATAGTTCGTGTTTCTCTCTCAAAAAATCTGAAGAAGGCTTTCTCACACAATGGGCTCTCTCCTCTCTCTTCCTTTCAGCTAAGCTTTTTAACAGTGAACGAGCTTAGTTCACGACCTAAGTTCACGGCTGTGAACTCTAAAACGCGTCCGTGAACTCAAGAAGGGCGTCGAAACGCACCACTTCGCTTGCGCATTTTCACGGTCAACAGCTCCAGTTCACGGTCTTAGTGACCGTGAACTTGCCTTGCGTCAGTAACCTCTGGAACAGCTATGGACGCCTCTAATTTCACGGGCAACATCTCTTCTTCACGGTCATACAAGACCGTGAACTTCCAAGTAAAGCCATGAACTCGCCCGTTTTCACCTCTTCTCCCGGTTTTCGCTCATTTTCGTCCAACTTTCGACTCCGAGGCTGGTTTCACTTGTTAAATCCTAAAACATGCTAAAACACGATAAACCTAATATAAAACAACCCTTTTAGGAACGAATTTGCCACAAACGCCTCAGTAAAACGGGGGGTAAAACATGTACAATTAGGCCCAAATCACTCCCCCACACTTAGACGTTTTCTTGTCCCCAAGCAAACCATTTCACACAAGGTAATATTTCAACCTACACAAATATTTTGGGGACAACTCAAAGGGCACAAAGTGGGAATTCTCAATGGCTATTGGCAATTAACACATGGACCATTGCAAGAAATACCAACATCCACCACTAACGACATTCGAGGCCACCAAAAACGGGCAAACGAAAAGTTCTCACCTTGTTCATGGATCAATGCAAGTCTCAACGAAACCACTTATCAACCACAACTAACCATGCATGGAATTCAATTCCAGGGAACAAGTGGGAAAGAAACCAAGGTCCTCATCGGGGTATGATATGACATGCAAAGGAAGAATGAATCACTCACTCTCAAGGCCAGTGGGGTAGGGACCTTTTTGGTGCCAAAGGATGTGCACAATCATTAAATCTCATCCCTATCGTCTCAAAACCATGGCGGAAACCTCTAAATGCTAGAGTTCACGGAATTGTTGTCATCTCTAGCTTGTTTGGAGGTCTTAGACACAGGTTCAGATGACTGGAAATTGTCTAGGATATGGGGAAAAGGCTTTTTTGGTGGTGGCAATCATGATGTGAGGTTCTACATCTTTAACCCAAACCCGAAGGTTCTATGGTTTCGAATAAAATCCTTCTCTTCAACCAAAGGCCACTAGCATCGGCTAAAAACCTTATCTCTCCTTTCCAAACTATCACCCATTATGAACTACATTGAAGCACTCTTCCTCGGTCAGCTCTTGCTATCATCTTTCGGTTTGGTAGTGAAGGAATTATAAAAAATGTGGGGGTCTCAATGGCTTGAGTGCCAAGAAACTCCTCC